AGGACTCGCGAAGTTATCCTGGGAATTGAGTCTTGATGTTCTACAGGCTCAACAAAGTTTATTATTATTTCTTTCTTTCTTTCTTTCTTCATTGGGAGCAGGGAAAGCCCATTTGAGTGGAGCTTACTTAAAAGATTTTTTTGACGCAGAACTACGTCTGTGATTTCTATATGGGGGTACACTTTGGGAAAACCGAAAAGCTGCCCCTGGACCAATTTCAATAATTTGATCACCAATCGATCAGAAATATTTCTACGCATCTGTTAAATTTAAGGCATCGTCAATTTTAAACATATGACTATTGAAAAATGCACGAAAGTGCAAGTTTTGCTATGATAATTAAAATTATCACCGATTGCCTGCGAAAAACAATTTCCCTAACACAGATTTCAAAATTGAATTCCATCCGGCCTTTATTCAATCACCACGTGCTGAGTGGTGGTGATCTCTGGTACACAACGAAAGGCTCCCGCAAGCAGCTAGCGATCAAGGCTGACCTCTACCGCTGATCGGATTCAGTTCCAATTATCGTGTATGGGAGGTCAGCAACAGCAGTGCTTTCGGCACGTGGCATTGAGTTTTGTTCTCCAGTACACAACGAAAAGCTGCCTGTAAGCAGCGAGCTGCAGCCTACATGAGCATCCATAAAAGGATGAAGTAGCCATACCGCTATTGATAGGAATCAGTAGCTCTTCGTGAGTTTCTGTGGGCCATCTATGTCAACCGCGTCATGCTAAAGAGTATAAACAGAGAAAACTCCACTATAATTCCTATTCCTACACAAAACACAAGCTCCTGCTGCAGGTAACAAATAAGATTTATTATATAAGACTACGTAGTCCTATGTCGCCATTGCGTACAATCCCATAGGGCTGTCCCTTGTAGTTTTTTTTTCTCAAATGGACATAAAACCTTTTCATATTTTCGCAAACAACAGAACAGTACATTCGAAATGATTCTTTTTCTTACTACTACCTATAATTTGCTAAATGAGAACTTCACGGAAACAAAATGATTTAACACACGCCACATACTACTAAAAGGCTCATTATATCCATAATTAGTACGGAATTTCGATATACGAATAAATCGGTGAGATTGGTGATGAAGAATAGCAAAATTCAACTCACGTTGCACTGCAGGACAGTTTATCTGAGATTGAACAATATCCGATATGAACGAAGCCTTAGTGACATTCCTACGAACCTCCTGAAGGTCGAGGTCAATTAGTTTACAACGATCTTCATATCTAGGGAGATTATATGGATAATTCCAGAGCAAACCAAATAACTTAAGTTGGTTAGCTTGTACTGTCTACTCCAATGTAGAGTGAACTAAGGATTAATACAGAGAGAATTCTTTTGCAGCACGAAAAATAAAGCCCAGGCATTTAGAAGCTTTGGAGGGTATATTTCCTGTATGATCTTTAAAAGTAGGATTCGAATTTAAGAGAACACCCAAATCTTTAAATGTAGATTATCTCTTTAGAGATGTTCCGGTAATGATGTACTCAAATGAAATGACAGAGCCTGTACGTCCAAAGGAAAATACTAAGCATTTGGTGGCATTCAAACTTATACGATTAATTGCGCACCATTTGGAAAAAGGTTAAGTACTTTCTGAAGCAAATGTGCTTCATTGGCATACGAGACCGTAAAACATTTGAGCACTAGGTTGAGGTCATTCCGGTACAGCAAGAATAAGAAAGGTCCAATATGACTGTCAATTCGAAATATCGCGAAAAACTTGAAAATTTCTGATTGCCTGGAGAAATGTATCTTTTATCAAGGCTCACAAATGTCCAGTGAAGTTCTGGTCCGATTTGGCAAGCTGCCACTGGGAGGTGCTGCAGTGGTATAGCGACAATAAGGTGGATTTCTTCGACAAGGATATCAATCCACCCAACTACCCGCAATTCCGCCGAAAAGTATTGGGAAATTATCAAGCGGAAGTTTAAGAAAACTGGAAAGACGACTCAGGACGCTGCACAGATGGCTCAATGTTGGAAAAATGGCTGCTGAGGATGACCAGCCCAGTGTGCGGCAGATGATGGTGCGAATTCCAAAGAAAGTTCGTGAGCTGATCCGAACGCCGTTGGAGTAAATTTGCAATTATTTTAATGAAATTGCAATAAAATACCTTCATTTTGACTAAATTGCATTTTTATTACGTCAAATCAATCCAGCGAAACACCTGGTTTGATGTGTCTGGATTCTATGTGAACCAGACTTTATAATATCATACAACAACAAAGTATTCTTAGAAACACATTCTCTTAGATATCCTGAGGCCTGGATCTTGATGTTTTGCAGGCTGTACGATGTACTTATTTATCATACGAATTCGTAGATAGTTTTTCTCATGGATCTGACTGACACGCAACTCTATGGTGGCAACCTGCAGGATTTCGTTCTGGAATATCTTGTGTGGACCATATTATCTCTGCATTAACCTGAAGATGATAAAGCATTTCAAGTAAACCTGTATTTGGTATTTATAAATAACGAAACCGCTTTCAACCGACTCAATCACGAGATCTATGGAGCGCTCAGGGTAGTTTCATTAACCCAGGGGCTCATGGCACTGGAGCTTGAACAAGATAAGGAAGCAATTCGATAAAATATTTTATGGTCTTCAGACCATAAGGGAGCTTAGATCATGATGTTCTACAGTTCAAACTGTGGTTTGTATTTTTTTTTAATCCAACTTTATACACCAAAGGTATAAGGGAGTCCATGAAGCTCTGTGAGTTAAAAAAATGTTTTTCGTAGCATCGTTGAGTCTGTCGAGTCTGAAGGTCTGAGCTCCAAGATGATTTGGAAAATTTAAGATATTTTTCTAACAAATCTATGTCTTTCATAATGTGACTAGGTCGCAAGTTGCTCCATAGATTCAAATAATAACCTGAGTATGAGAAAATAACTTATGAATACCAAATTTAGGTATGATATTAGCATAACTGGCAACCTGAATATAGTATTGATAAGCCTGAAATAAGAGGTAACATACATATAATTCCTCCAAAATATTCTACGAATAAAGAACTAAATCATTATTTAGTTGTTATAATAACTGACAAATAACGAACGCCTTTTTGATGCCAGAATACCATAATTTGTCATTTGAAAGGCCTTCTAATAGTAATCCAATAACTCTTTTAGGTGTTGTGTCTAAAACCTGAATGATCACGTTTTTTTATTTTGATATTTATTTGATATTTAACAAAATATATCGAGCATACCGAAATAAGGTTTCATACCAAATTAAGATATTCATATGTTATCGGTCAGATATCGGTTCTTGCTCGGGAGGTCACGACATCGTACAACACATTGGTTGAGCCTGCAGAACTTCAAGATCTGATCTTCAGGATGATTTGGAGAACTCGAGCTATTTTGTCATTGCAGCTATATATCCTACACGATATGAGGGGGCTCAACAAGGAGTCAGGACATCGTACAATATCTCGTTGAGCCTGTAGAACATCAAAATCTGAACTCCAGAATTATTAGGATTTCTGAATACATATCTTTGGACAACATCTTTTTTGAGACTCTGTTGATCGTTTAAAAAGAAAGGTATTAACTTAACTAAAAAAAAAAGGTTTTAACTTCAAAGTAATTTGGATGTCCTAGATTAGCCGAAAACTTATTTATTAATTCTTACAAAAACGTAAAAAGTTTCTTGAAATAATCCTTTGACAAAATCGGGACTGAAATTGTCAAAGGAAAGTTTGGCGGTTTTTATTATCAAAATAAATTAATGGATGAATCTGAACGAAATTGTTACGATATTTTTAAAATACCGTAAGACGGGGGGACATTCAACCAAAACTGGAAAATGTTGCAAACATTTGAAAATGCAAGTATCTTGAATATACAGAAATATATTACAGGAATATGTTTCTTGAACTCCTGGAGTAAAGTATAGATACCATTAACTAGCTTTAAAGTTAAATTTCATATATATTATGAACAACACGTTTTTAAATATGTCCACATGCAAACACTTTTATATGGATTGACGAGTGTTAAAGTGATCTTAAGCACAACATACGAAGTACATTGTGATTCTACCATGCTACGTTACATTTACATATTTTAAGATATTTTAACCAAATTTATGCTTTGACCCAATGTCTCCATCCATAAGGTCTTGCATTGGTATATTTTTTGTTTAATTTTATTAAAATGAGATATCAATTTTTATCAACAATTTCCATGGCAGTCGTTAATATATTATTGATAAAAATATTCACATGCATAACATTGATTTCCTTGATAAAATATGACTGTTGTAAGGTAGGGCACGAAAAATTTTGATTTTTCGGCTCAATATCACCCCCAGCTACGGGAATCATCATTATTTTAACTTTGATTGAATCCATGTATAGATGACATAAGCAATAATATTTTCAATAGAGAAGGACGGGAATATGTGCAACCTCTCTGTACATTTTAGTGCCATCCTCGCCACCAGTCGAGTGTGGTGTTGCTGATGTTTCTATTACCGCATTACAATCGCTTTCAATAGGTTCCTTTGAAAGTGCGTGGTCAATCAAATCAAAAATGAATTGCATGGAGCTTCGAATATTTTGTATAAAAATACTGGGTATGCTCCATGTGAATATTGAGTAGGGCTTCGATGCTTCTCTTACATGGCTTTTAACCGATCTTAGAAGTTGTATCAAGGAATCGTCATTAGTGTAGGGATGGAATTCTCTTCATTTATTTTTCGATTCATGGTTCTTGGAATCATGAAAGCTCTGATCCAATAGCGGAAAATGATTGCTACGTAGCAAAACAAACCGTCAAAGCAAAACATCATTATCATTCGTTTTAATCGATCTGTCTTTCATTTTGAACAGGCAGTAGAGTATGTCCCAAACATAACGATTCCACCTGAAAGATTACCAAAACTCGAATGATCCGCACCGAGGAGCTATTATTTTCGGTTGTCATCGGGATTATCGGAGATTGAATTCAAAACATCGTACTCACCTCAGACGACGTCAGATAGCACAGTCGCGAGTCGGTGCTGTCAATCGACGCTTGCTGCACAATTCCATAGCGTGGCTCCCGGTCGCTCATGTAGTCCGACCGTAGGCTGTCTTGCCGATCGAAAACACCCCTGGACGAGACAGAGCTTGACATCAGTTTTATAATATGACTTCAGTACCGTGTGGTAGGGTCTTCTCTGATACATACCTTTGCTCGAACGAGTCCGCTCGGTTGCTCTTGTAGCCCGAATCGTTCAGGCTGGAATCCTGACGCAGTGAAGGTAAGGAATCCCAGGGCGATCGTTTGTGAGCTCCAATGCCGCCGGCATTACTTTGAGACGACACCAGACCCGGCCCGGAGCCAGACCCGAAGGTGGAGCTTCCCGAACGCCAACCGTCCGAATGGCGGAACCACTGAGCTCGCGCCGATTCACCGATGCACGATGCACATCGGGTTGCGGTCGAGTAGCTGTTGAGAGAAAAACTATTCTTTGGTTTTCCTGAATATTTACAAGGATGCCAAGTATTATTACTTTGAATTGTGATCACTGAGATAACCACGGTCACGATCCCGGTCCCGCTCGCGTTCCCGTATCAGCTCGTTGCGATCGCTGTAGTATCCGTCACGATCGCGATCTCGGTCTCGTTCACGCACCGGAGGCGGCCGCTCTGGACCCAGACGGTGGGGTAGCGGAAGGGTTGATGATTTGGCACTGGCGGAGGATCCTGTGGATTTAAAGGTGAGATCGTTAGTCATCAACTTGTTGCGCAGTGTGATCGTGTTGATTGGTAGGAAATTTACAGCAGCTGAATTATTGTGCGTTAAGATAAACAATATCCGTATGATTTCGCTGATTGTCGTTGCAAAAGAGTTGTGGAAAGTAGTGATGCACCGAATAGTGCTATTTGGCCAGAAATTTGGTGTTTACAACAAGGTTGCAAATACTCATTTCAGCTGAAACAATGTTTTTTTCGGAATTATGAAATAATGATACTTAGAAAAATTTATGTAAATTTGGGTGCTCTGAGACTGACATATCCAGAACAACATGTGAAAAGGGCATACAAGCTTTTTGTAAACAAACCTTCTTATGCCCTTTTCTCGCCACCCATATGACACCAACGCAAACCTTTAACATCACCGGGTAGGGGGCACTTTACCCTTCCCGATGATATTGCTGGTTTGCGTGGGCGACCCTCGGTTGGTGAGAAAAGGGCTTACAAAGGTTTGTTTGCAAAAAGCTTGTATGCCCTTTTCACATGTTGTTCTGGATATACCAGCGTCAATTTTGACATAAAATCAAACGAACTTTCGAACTTTTCAGTCTCGTAGCACTTACATGACATGTTTGTTTACGTCTCATCCTTTTTGTCAAAGATTAGGTATTTCTAAGTGTGTATGCTATGATCATATTTTGTATTGGTAAGATACAAGAAGAGGCTGCAAAGAATGTGTTTGACACATTGAAACTGTTTATTTCACTTCATGAGAGTCGCAATCAGCGATTTTTCACTCACTAACTCACTAACTCACTCGCAAATCGCTAATTGAGACTCATAAAAAGCAAAATGGACAAGTTTTATGAATCAAACACATACTTTGTAACCTCTTCTTGTAATTTTCAAGGGGTTAGAAGGAAAGGGGTTTAAGTGACTTTGATCGATTCTCTTCATCGACTTTCTCTTTTGATAGTCACAGCTTTATAAACAGATTTTACGCTATTTCTGCCACATAGTTTGATAAAGGAGGTTCTCGTCTAGCATCCAGAATGGCACACGAATCAAGGAATTTATTTACAGCTAAATTATTAACGAAAGAGAAAATCGATTAAAAGATTCGTTCAAAATCACGTAAACCCTGCAACTGTGTCTAAATCTTTTGAACAGAGACATTACCCAATCTTTAACCTTCAAATACCTTGGAGTCTGGTTTGATTCGAAATGTACTTGGGGTACCCACACTAAGTATTTGAAACAAAAGTGTCAACGAAGGATAAACTTTCTACGATCAATTTCCGGGACATCGTGGGGTGCTAACCCGGAAGACCTAATTAAACTGTATAAAACGGATATTCTTTCAGTTCTTGAGTATGGTTCTTTTTGCTTCCTCTCAGCAAGAAAAATCCAAATTGTTTACGTATTGCCCTTGGCAGTATGCATTGAACACACAATATGAGCCTAGAGGTTCTAGCGGGCGTAAAACTACTGCAGAACCGTTTCTGGGAGCTCTCATTAATAATATTGATTAAATGTAGTGTCAGTAACAACCTTGTGATTGAAAACTTCGAAGAAATGCTCGAATTGAGCATCCAGTCTAGATTCATACGAATCTATCTTAATTATATGTCATCGGATATTGGCCTTCCGTGCTATAACCCCCTCGTGTATGCTTTACTAACAACAGTTCCCCCATTGACTATGATCTCTCCATGAAACAGGCTATTCAAGGAGTTCCAGATCAACTTCGACCTATCTCAATTCCACGCATTTTTGCTGAAAAGTACCAACAAGTATATTGCAATTGAAGATTTTTCCCTGATGGATCACGCATTGATGGATCCACTGGCTTCGGCGTCTTCAAGGAATACTCATTCGCCTTTCGGAAACTTCAGGAACCTTGTTCCGTTTATGTTGCTGAGCTAGCAGCAATCAACTTCGTATTGGGGATGATTTCCGACATGCCCACAGACCATTACTTCATCTTCTCGGATAGTCTCAGTTCGATCGATGAAACAAGGTAGGCACTCATCTTATCTCCTCTCAAAGGTAAGGGAGCATATGCGTTTGCTGGTCGAAAGATCATATATGATTACCTTTGTATGGGTCCCCTCACATTGCTCAATCCCAGGCAATGAGAAGGCAGACTCTCTCGCAAAGGTGGGTGCACAACAAGGCGAGATTTATGATAGAAGAATTTCACATGAAGATTTTTTTTCCCATTAGTACGTCAGAGTTCTCTTTTAAGTTGGCAAAACTTTTGGACAAGTAATTTTCTTGGCCGTTGGTTACATTCCATTATTCCAAATGTTTCTTCGAGAGCGTGGTTCAAAGGTTTGGATGTAAGTCGGGGCTTCATTCGCGTGATGTCAAGACTTAAGACTTAACTACAGCCCAGTGACAGGCGCGTAGGCAACATGTTATACCATGACAGCGGGCCCAGCACAGCAACATAAATGATTTGTGCCCCGGGACATGCTGTCTACTGTCAAACGCAGCAGTTGGTATAGGCCTTGTCACTGGCCTGCACTACTCGCTAGACTCACATATCTACAGAATAAACCTCGTTGACAGCAATATATGTGGATGTAGAACCGGTTATGATGACATCTATCACGCAGTTTGGTATTGCCAGGGTAATGACCAGAGCTTAAAATTATTGACTGCCTAGGCTCAGTGTGAAAGCACTGCACTATTCAATCCATTGCTCTGTGCAGACTGTTTGTACCAAACGGTAAAGGACGAGACAATGAAAGAGCCAACAAAAACATTCAATCACTCACGAGCAGGCGACGCATACCGCTTGCATTCGCTCACACAGCATGTAATTGAGTCATTTTTCCATAGAAAATGTACGCTCAGTCATTCAAAACAAATATTGGGTACCATCACGGCAGAATAAATGTGTTGACTGAGCTACTGACTGAGTGATCGGCTGTCAGTGACTCGTTTACCTCTGAATCATTCAGACTCTCACGAGGCAGTGAATGATGAGGCAAATGGCAGTTCATATTCATATCAAAATGACTCAATGAACCTGACTGTTTTGCGCACTGGTAATGACGCTTCCAGAGCACGACTGTTGGATACCCTTGTGACCCGAGGTAGACAACCCTTCCGTGAAGTAAGAGATTTATTGGGAACCCGTGATCTTCCCTACATGCAGGCGATCTACAAATTCCTTTGTTTGTCTGATGATAGAGTCTGATGTGACCATCCCACCCTTTACAAACAGCTTCTTATTATCCTCCTGTTTCTGTGCTACTTGTCCCTGCCCAGCCAGGATTTGTTCAACCGTCCGAGGCTTCAGAAACCAGTTTCCTACTTATCTCCCTCCAATCGAAATTGTTACCCATTAACCTCGAGCCCGCCACGAGTAATTGGTACCCAATACTAACCTAGAACTACTTCTGTTTAAAATGTAAATTCAAACATTACTGATTTTTGGCTCCGCAAAGTGTCACACCCGACTGAGCCTAGTAAATAAACGAACTAGTTAAAAAAAAAGTCACTTACACCCCTTTCCTTCTAACCCCCCAAGTAAAACATGTGATCATACAGCTATCCCCCGAAGAACGCGTTACCCACTGAGTTGCACCCACCGCTTTTTTTCGGCGGGGTTTCAACCAGTCGGTCTGATTTTTTACAGGAGAACTAGTCACTCGCAGAAAATCAGAGCACATGGTTGAAAACCCACCGAGACATAGCGGTGGGTAGAACTCAGTGGGTAACGCGTTCTTCTGGGGAAAGCTGTATTTGGCCATTTCTCACTTAAGGGGGGAAATACAAGTAAAACATTTTTTTATCGATTTTTTATATTCCACATTAAATTTTTTTTTAAATTCTACGAGTACGAGGAATCGCCGATTAACCATAAGTTCCAGGAATCATGCTTTTACACAACCCAAAACTTTAAACGGTGTTTTCCAAATTGGCGGGAAAGTAACTCAAAAAGTTCTCATCCAAATGACTTGAACCATAAAACAAAAATATTTTCTGAATAAGGTCCAACTGATAAAAGTAAGTTTTGTCCATTTTTAAGGTCTCTAGAAGACCTGCCAATTACCAATCCCCACCGGAGGCGACCTCCTTCCGATGTGACCCCAAGGAGCCACAGAAGTCACACACCAATGAAAAAAATCTCAAATGTAGAGGAAGATTTAAGCAATTCAATGCAAAAAACCCCAAACGTTTGCGTTGTTTCATTTGCTCACAAAAAAAAAACGAAAATCGTAGAGTTTTTGACGTGTTACTTGTTTTTCCCCCCTTAACACATTGTTGATATTGTTGTTGATAGCTTGATATTCAATTGAATTAAACAATTGAAAAGGCCTTAAGTCCATTTTGTAAACAAACCTTGTAAGGCCATTTTGTCGCGAACTGAAGTCCGCCAACGCAAACCAACAAAATGAGCAGGTAAGGGTATTTCTCCTCTACCCCTTTGTGTTTTAGGTTTGCGAATGTAGGTTTTGGTTTGCGAGAAAATGGCCTTACAAGGTTTGCTTACAAAATGGAGTTGAGGCGTTTTCAATTGTTGGCCTTGAAATATTCCAACAATAATAACAACAACAATCTTAAAGTCATTAGTCGGAAGTAGGATCGGAAGTCGGAAGTCGGACGTCCAAACTTTAGTTTAGTACTGGCGACACAATAATTCCCAATCACAACTGACTCGCATCTTGTCGTATCTTGCCAATTCATAACCAGCTTCTCTTGACTGGCTTGTTTAGTTTTATTTTGAATTCACAAATGCATGAGCATATTTCCATGGGATTTAAATCGCAACTCACTTCAGCACATACTATTACCACCGACACCGAAGTGTGATAGATACAACGCAGGTGGTTTTGAAATTTATCTCCGTTGAAAACGAGTATTGATTCGAAAGGTTGTGAATTACACCTACCCCCCCACCGGCTGCCAGCTGCGTGGTTCCTGATTCTGGTTCGAACGTTTTAAGAGGCATTTTATCATTGCTGCATTTTAATATGTGTGTTTATGGAAACTTG